CAGTTCCTACTATCTCTGAAACAAGATTCTAATGGTACGTTTTTCCAATAAATACAAGTCCCACTTATTTAAAACAAAAACTAATAAAAATAGAATTTAATCTCTCAAAATTACAATCTGGTTACGTGTCTTCTGGAATGTTCTGTGCCTCCTCTGTCGAATGTTCCATCAGGAATATTAACTAGTTGTGCTGTAGGTATCTTTGATTTCGATGGTGTTTTTCTAAAACTTAGAGAAGACAGAACTAGTGATTCTGTTTAGAGAGCTGAGAGCTGTTAACTCTTAGAGGGCAGTTCACTCTCCTGTCTTTGCCCAACTGTCCCTTCTTTTATACCCTTGATGACATAGCAATATTCCTTACCGTAGGATTGGTCCTATGTTGTCAAAACCATCAGATTTAAATTTAATTGTTTTTTAGTATCTGGGAGCCTAGTTCAAGTTAGTTGGATAAATTCAAAACTTCTTGTCTTGATAACAAAACCAAACTGTTGCTTGGTCTGCTGACTGTACAGCCTTTTGACACAAATGTTTCAATTCAGGAGCTCTGTGCACCTGCAAACCCACAAGCTGCTGCCCACAGACATCCTTTTTGAATCTCTAAACATAGAAAAAGCGCATCATCTTTTAAAGGGACCACACACTGCTTTCCCCCCTAGCATTTTATACACACCAATATTTTACAAACACCAAATTCTAATGTCCTGCCTGCCAGTCCACAAATACTCTGCCCAACTTCACAACACCAGGGAAAAAAATTATTACACAACAACTGTACAGTTACACAGCTAGTCCTAGACTGACCCAAAGCTCCAGCTCTAGGTCACCTGACCCACTCTCTTAAAAGGGTAGCAAGCACACCCAATGACATAAATAACAGTATCTGCTATCCCCATGCATGGATTAAGTTCAGTACCAAGGGGTAGATTGTCTGTCACCATGTTCCTGACTCCATAAGATCTAAGCCACTTTTTTTTGTTTTACATAAAATGTTATCTATCTGCATGAACCATTTATTACAAGTATTCATAGAGCTGTACAGCAGGGA